GATGCTTCTTTGTCAACTAAGGCACCCCATGGCTGAAAGTGTGGAGGGCAAATGGCACTTGGCTCACAGGTAAGTCATAATCACAAACTGTTGATTCGATTTTTACTGACATTAATGTGAAGTATCAGCAATTTTGCTTCTGAGACACAATCCATTGATGTAATGTTGTCATTTTTTTTCAGTTGTGCAATCAGAAATTCATTCATATGAGGAAAAAGCAGTTAATACCTGTGGAAAAACGCCAAAGAAAGTGGTTGTTGGACTGATTGCTCTTTGGCAAAGGCTGAGCTCAAGATTTACCAAGGAAAGTGTGACCCGAGAGGAAGTCACACTAAGCCTGGAAACTGGAACTTCACTTACCTTGTAAGGTCTTTCAGAGAGAATTATATACACGCAAATGCACTCTAGTGTGTCACTGTGTTGATAAACGGTGGTTTCCCAAACAGCTTTACTCTGATTTCTGAAGCAACAAGGGAAAAAAAAGAGACAAGTAATTTACCTCTCTGGGATCCAATCTTGCGCAAATGTTAGTTAAAATCTTCCCGATCAGTTAGTCTGGGCTGGACTCAGCTACTGGGACAGAACACAGGCGCAAGAGGAAGGCCCCCGAGGGCAGGTGTCTCTCGGGATGGGATTTAAAGGCAGCTCCCCCGTCCTGTCTGCTCTTTAGTCCCCAGTCTTGGATCAAGCGTTCTGGCCTGGATTGAAAAGCATCTTCAGAACAGCAGGGTGCTCACGTTGAGCCCCTCCCTGTTTCCTTCTTTCTGTCATTTCCTTGTTCCTTGTACCCTCCTGTCCCCCTATTGGATTATAATCTTATTGAAGGCAGGGGCTGTGTCTTACTCATCTTTGTATCTTCTTTCTTCAACCTTTGTTGTCTGACAGTGTTTTGCTTATATAGAACACAGTTTTGTTTGTTAAATAAAAATAAATATAGTTAGAGGCAAATACAAATTCTCCAATGTTTCAGTTGCTCCCAAGAAAATGAAAGGAGATTGTAGATTTGTGAAGAGATCGACTTCCTGTTTTTAACAGAATGAGTGGTATACTGGTATGTTTATATAATAAAAGTTGCTCTAAAGGATTTTGATGTGTTTTTCTCCCTAAAAGAAGCAACAGCCTTATTGTGATATACATAAATCAAAGTGAATTTAGAAAGGGTCAATGGAAGGAGTTATTTTACGTAGAGAGGATGGCTCTAATGGTAACGTTCATTACCTTAATGTTTCCACATATTTATCAGTTGAATAAACTGTTCTCCACCTGCAGGGCTGTTGCTAGGGGAGCTGGTGCACTAGTGAGGGAAGAGGTGTCCGTGAACAGCGCTGTTAGCTGACACCACTCTTTCTGTCTCTTCTTGTCTTTCTTTTGTCCCAGTGATGGTGGACTGGACCCAATCATCTACACCTCGCTGTTTTTTCCTTTTTGAGATCTTCTCATGGTGGCTCACAAAAAGACGCAGCTTTCTTTTTAAGGGTTGTACAGGTATGTGCGAATTAACAAGCTATTGTCTCTCAGCTCTAGTCCCACCCACTGGGTCTGCTAAGAGAGGACCCGAGAGAGACTGGAATGCTCTCTTCTGCTCGTTTTTTCTCTCAGCAGCACCTTAACAATGACCTTTGACTCCACAGTGGCAGTTAGTTGCAGTCTCCAGCTTTTCTTTTCTTTTTTTTTTGGCATTCTCAGAGGCAGCTTCATTTTGTCCCCTCAGAGTCACCAGTACCAGCGGGGCAGTGACCCCCTTCTCAGAGGTCTGACCCATCCACGGGGTCTCTCCAGCAAACCTCTGCATTCCAGTAACCTCGACATTTTCCCTCTGTTCTTCCAGCCTCAGGGGTGTGAGCTGCTTCCTGGAATTGCTATCCTGCCTTTCTCCTTTTAGCTTTAAGTTCTCCAAAAACTAATTAACCAATAGCTTATATTAAGTTTTCTTTGTGGAAATGCCTCTGGTAGTTTCTGTTTTCCTAACTGGACCCTGACGGATATAGTACTTGACGCCTGAAGGGGTCTGACCCTCCTGGATCTGCTGGGTCAGAGGCCCAAAGCAGCAGAGTGGCCTGCACTGCCGTCTGGACCTGCTGCACAGCCCGCTTTTGCTCTGGGCCCTGCAGGAACCATCGTGTATTTAACTAGGCCCCTGCAGAAGGACCTTTAAGTTGTTTCCAACTTCTGTTACTAGAAACAATGCAGTAAACAACCTTAAATGAATATTTTTCTCATAGGGGCAAGTACACCTGTACGATAAAGTCATAAAAGTGGAATTGCTGGGTCAAAAGGATTGCCCAATTGCAATTTATAGATTGTACCAATTTAGTCTCTTGCAGGCAATAAACAGAAATTTATTTGCATGAGAAACAGAGAAACCAACAAAGGGAAGAGGGAGCCAGGAATGACACCCTTGTCCCAGGAAGAGCGCCTGAGCTGGTGGAAAAGAGAAGCACATCTAAGCACAGAATGAGATCTATCACCTGAGGTGGTACTTTTTGGCCTAGACTCCATGGACTTCACCTGGAGCCTTTTGGAGAGAAGGGAGGCTAAGATTCCAATGGAAAAGCTCTCTAAGATCCTTTGGTGCTCACTTGATGGAAGGTGGTACCCAAACGGTAGCGAGGCCTTTTGTCACAGATCGCCAACAGGGCTCGGCAGTCTGAGGAGGCTTCACACTGTGCCCAGTGGCTGTGTGACCAGCAGCAGCAGTGACACCTACAGCTGCGTGGCCCCTGGAATAGCACAGCTATGGGCAGTGCTGCTGGGCACACTGCATACAGTAGCTGTAAGCACACAGACACCACCTAGAGACACCCAGGAACACTTGGGTGGAACTTTGTAGGGTACCAGATCTGTTTCCTGTGGTATCAGAGAGGGTAAGAGCTGGTAAAACACAGGTTACAAGCTCTCGTTTACTAAGTTGTCCCCTTTTTCACTTAAACATCTTTGCCTCATACACTAGGGTAGGCTTTTGTTTAAAAATAACAAAGTAAAATATTCTTCTTCCTTGAGTCCTTATAACACATCTCAGCAAACTCAGGTTTTACCATGTGCTGTTTGGTTTCCTTGTCATCTATTCCCTGCTCAGCAGAGCTCTACTGCTGTTACCATTGCCCTTGTTTAGCACACAGGCTACCTTCTACCGATTCCTCCTTAGCACTACGTGGCAACACACCTGTGTGTACAACCGGGGCTGTGTCTTCCCTGCTCGGCAAGATCTGGGCCGCCTTCCTGCAGAGGACTTTTGTTTTATGTTCCACTGTATCTTGTTGGTGCCATTCTTAATTTACACGACAGAGATGCTGTCATCACCAATTAACATTTATCAAGGACCTCTGGCTGCGTGGCTGCATAGGGACTAATTTTTTATTCTCTGTTTCAGATATCAGGTGGCTCCTTCAAATGAATTTTTCAGTATCTTAGTGACGATGAACAACAGAGACATCAGTTAGGATTCAGGAAGCCAAGCCTTTGCAGAAAATGCTTAAAGGTGAGCATCAAGGCTTGGTATTAATATTTGAAAGTATAAAAGAGGGGATACTTTTCTTCAGCCAACAAATGACAAAAGTAAAAGGCACTGTTTTCATTGTTCCTGGAAGAAGCCTGGCAGCATTCCATCCAGACATCCGCCTTTTGATCATCCCATTTTCCCCTTTACTTATTTCAGTCCTTCTAATCTTCAAGGCTGAGTCTGAATCTCTCTTCCTGAGGCTTTCTCTAATCCTCCTGCCCTTAGGGATGACTCCCTCCTGCAGCTCCCACAGCCCTCATCATTTATCCCTCTCATTTGGAAATTTAGCACATGATGCATTTTACCAGCATTGAATAAATACATGTTCATTCTCCCCAAGTATATTAGAGAGCTGTCTGGACAATTTATTTCTTTCCCATCCTCAGAGTCAGCACAGTGTTCTGTCAACGGTAGAATCTCAAGAAATATTTATTCATGATGATGGCCAGTCTATCAAAACCAGATGGAATTTCATTTTAAAAAGAGGGTGAGAGGGGCCGGCCCCGTGGCTTAGCGGTTAAGTGCGCGCGCTCTGCTGCTGGCGGGCCGGGTTCGGATCCCCGGCGTGCACCGGCGCACCGCTTCTCCGGCC